CCCTCGATTATTGGTTTTCATTACGAATTCTGGCCTAAATTATACATTAATTTTTTGTATAAAATTTAGATGGGATATGATTTATCACGTGCACGCATGAAACCCATCTCTATTTGTGGCATCCTCATGAATGTGCAAGGACCATCTATCCAAGAAATCTCTTTTATAATTGTTTCATAATCATTATTGGCTAAAAACAAGGTTCGATAGAATTGTTCTCTTTCAATTAATTTTTTTTATAATTTCTTTCGAACCCCTGACCATTTGTTTTATAAACAAACATTTATTAAAACTTAATAAATACCCTCAATATAACCTTGAACTGTTAAATAAATGGGGTTGAGTCAAATAGAAATCAAGCAAATTTTTGCTAAGTAAATTTTTTTGAAACTTTAATAAACATTAACTTAATCAAAATTAATAAAATTTTTTTTAAAATAAATATTACAAATTGTAGAATCCATTTAAAAAATTTTATTAAATTTGATAAAGTTTTTGTTGAGTTATTGTTTAAAAATTTCAATAAAAACAATTTGCTTGATTTCTGTTGACTCACTCCCAAATATACAAGTTATCTTTCGAGTTTAAATCCCAGATAACCACATTATCTTTCTATTTATAACATTTATTCGTCCATCTATTACATGCCACAACGTAAATTTGCATTGCTGCACACACACATCACTCTAGTACCTGGTCTTTGAGAAGAGGATTAAGGTTGACATATTTAATCGGAATTTAAAAAGGTTGTAGTAGAATTTTTATGTTCAATTAGAATCTTCCATTTCAGTTGATTCTTGATAGCAAATCATCGCTGCAAGTTCGTTCTTTTCAACTCCAATTCCATTTTCATAACAATATCCAACATTGTGTAATCCTTTAGCCAATCCCATCTCAGCAGATTTTTGATAATAAATGAATGATTTATATTCATCTTTTTCAACTCCAATTCCATTTCGGTAACAATAAGCAACTTGAAACATTCCATAAGCATGCCCTATTTCGGCAGATTTTTGATAATATATGAATGCCTTACAATAGTCCTTTTCAACCCCAATTCCGTTATGATAAAAGTAACCAACATTATATGTTGCACTAGCATGTCCTGTATCTGCGGCTTTTTGATAATAAACGAATGCTTTATGTTCATCCTTTTCAACTCCAGTTCCATCTCTATAACAGCATCCAAGGTTATACATTCCACCGTTATCCTCCATTTCAGCAGATTTTTGATAATAAATAAATGCTTTATATTCGTCCTTTTCAACCCCAATTCCATTTATAAAGCAATGAGCGAGATTATTCATTCCACCACTACTACTCATTTCAGCAGATTTTTGATAATAAATAAATGCTTGATGTTCATCCTTATCAACACCAATACCGTCTTCATAACAACAACCGAGATTACATATTCCTTCAGCATTTCTCATATCTGCTGATTTTTGATAATAAATAAATGCTTTATATTCATCCTTTTCAACACCAATTCCGTTTTGATAACAGACGCCAACATTACACGTTCCTTCGGTATGTCCCATTTGGGCCGATTTTTGATAATGAATAAATGCCTTATACTCATCTTTTTCGACTCCATCCCCCGAGATGTAACATTCGCCAAGGCGAAATATTTCATCTGCACTTTCAATATCAAGTCCTTCAGAGACATGTTTATCTTTTTCAACATCAATAATGTCAACTTGTGGGATGAGGTATGGATCCATAATCAATAAGCTTTTGCTGTCATTCTCACCTAATTTTTATTCATCAAAAATATTTCTTGGAAAAAGATATTTTTAAAAAAAAGTCAAAATTGCAAATATGTTAATTACCTAAATCTGTAACACATAAAGGATTGAAGAGTCTGTCTGAATAAATTTCTTCGAAATGAGATGGCATCGTTATGCTGGATTCAAGTATTTCATTTGCTTTCCTTATTTGTGCAATTAAATCAGTTGATTTATCATCTAAAAGAGCGTTATTCCACATACTTATAGTGTCTTGAATTTCTTTAGAAGTCGGTCTTTTGTTTGGTTGAACATCCCAACACTTAATAATTAATTCGGAAACAAAATTTGGCACATGTGACGGAATGCTTGGACGTAAGCCATTATAAATTCTACGTTGTAGTTGGATATCATGAGGAACATCATGATATGTCCGAAGACCAGAGGCTATTTCACATGCAATGATGCCAAAGGAATATACATCTGATGCCATACTATATGCCCTACTGTATAATACTTCCGGTGCTATATATGGAATTATGCCATATACTTTATCATTTGATCCTAAATTAGCTAATGTTGAAAGTCCTAAATCCGTAATATATGCGCTATGAAAATTTACTAGCAATATATTTCCACTATGTAAATCTCTATGAATAAGATTTTGTGAATGAATTATCTGAAGATCAGATGCAATAGACTCCAACAGGGTTAATTTCTTTTTCCATTCCATTTTCGAAATAGCATAAAGGTTTTTATCTAAAGAACCTATAGATACATATTGCATAACAATTATATAATCTTTTGAAACATTTTCCCTTGATATTCCCAAACATTTTAAAAAATTTGGATTCTTAACTCCGATATCGCAGTATGCTTTTAACTTATTAGTATAAAAAAAAAAAAAAAAAGGTTCGTATCACTTCACCGACATTACTTTGCTGACAATTTAGTTAGTCATTTCGACGACAACCAGTGAATCGATAATCATGTCATCGACTATACCTACTTCTCCAACTTGAA